CCACCCCCACCCCCCGCCTATCTGCCTATATTCATAGTTCAACCTCCATCTCTGCTCACACCATTCCACAGCTATCTGGCTAACTAAAACTGCAGATTCCTCATGGCAGGAATTAACTGCCCTGACCCAATGATCAGAAGGCAGATTCAAAGGCTTTCCTGAACGTTCAGAGACGAATCTCTCAGTGTCACCTTCCCTCTCATCAGCCCTACTAGACTAGGCTCTTCTCACCACCCCTTTTTAGTAAAAACAAACAAACAAACAAAAACAGCTTCCATCATGTCCACTTCATGTGTCTGAGAGCAGAACTGTGCTCCATAGACTGTCAGTGGCTGCTACTTGAAAAGAAGATTCCAGTCTTTCTTGCGAGGTGTGTCTGGATGGCTACATCTTCAATCTTTGGTTACCAGCTGGCCATATTAACTGTTTGCACCACCTAGTGACCCCTTGGGTTCTCTGTATTTGTTGTTTCTACTTCTTCACTTCCCTTGCACTTCTCACTTCGGCCCTACTGAACATACACCCCAGCAATCCCCAAGGCTTTTCCAGCAGGGACCAGACTACCACATAGAGCACTGTTCAACTCAGAAATGTGGCTATTATTAGGTGCTAGGTCAAGTTGGGTGTTATTGTTAGGTCAAGTTGATTCTGACTCATAGTGACTCTGTGTATGATAGAAGAAAGCACCTTCCAGTCCTGCATCTTACTCACCATTGTTCTAATGTTTGATCCCATTGTTATAGCCACTGTGTCAATCCATCTGTTGTCAAGGGTCTTTCTATTTTTCACTGTCCCTCTACTTTATCAAGCATGACGCCCTTCTCCAGGCACTGGTGATACTATATCCAATGTACATGAGAAGAAGTCTTGCCACCCTTGATTCTAAGGAGCATTCTGGCTGTACTTCTTCCAGGACAGATTTGTTGGTTCTTTGGAGAGTCCACAGTACTTTCAATATTCTTTGCCAGCACCATAATTCAAATGCATCAGTTCTGCCTCGGTCTTCCTTGTTCAATGTCCAAATACCCTGGCACATGAGGTGATTGGAAAGATCACAGCCTGGGTCAGGCATGCCTTAGTCCTCAAAGTAACATCCGTTTTTCAACATTTTAAAGAGATCTTGTGTAGCAGATTTACCCAATGCAGTACGTCATTTGATCTCTTGATTGCTGCTTCCATGAAGATTGACTATAGATTCAAGCAAGATGAAATCCTCAACAACTCTCTGCTACCCAGTATGATCCACCTGAGCAACAGCAGCCAAGTCTACAGTTTCAGTGGCCTGTCCTCTGCCTATGAACCACAAATTCTTATTTTCAGCCAAGATATCCGTCCTGACCTCCTGCAACACCCTCAAATCCAACCTGTCTAGACAGAGTTCCTCTCCTCATCCTTAAACCCTCTATTCATCCATTTCTTACCTAGGGGTTCCATCACCTACCCAATCACCCAGCTTGAAACCTGGGGATCCCAGGACTTCTCTTGCCTTCTCCTGTCTCTCTAGCCCAGGGGTCCTCAAACTTTTTAAACATGGGGCCAGTTCACTGTCCCTCAGACCCGTTGGAGGGCCAGACTATAGTGTAAAAAAAACTATGAACAAATTCCTATGCACACTGCACATATCTTATTTTGAAGTAAAAAAACAAACGGGGCAAAAATACCTGGCAGGCCAGATCAATGTCCTCAGCGGGCCGCATGTGGCCCATGGGCCGTAGTTTGAGGACGCCTGTGTCTAGCCCCTACATTCTACCAAACTAACTCCTATGGGTCCTTCTTCCCAGCAGAACCTCCTCTCCAGAACAACAACCATCTCCATCCTCCCTCCTACCACCTGAGTTCAACTTGGTCTCTTAACACCACACACACACCCGAGTCCAGGGGCCACCTACTGGTCTCTTCTGGCTAGACTGTGGTCCTTCCCATACCTGGAGTTGGTCTTCCACAACATGAATCTGGGAATCACTCTCCCTTGCTCAAACTTCTGCAGTGGCCTCCCTGCTTGGGGAGAAACCGAAGTCCTCAGAATGCCTTACCCTGTTCCATTAGCTCCCTGCCCCAGCCAAATCCGACAGCCTGCCCTCTCTCATATGCCCAGACATACCACTGTGTCCCTGGATGACCGGCCTTCCTCCTCACCCTACCCCAAATCTGGCCCACACGCACTCTCACTCAGCTCAAGAGTTCTCTTTTGTGAAGCTTCTATTATTTAGGATTTAATCGCCCACAGCTCTCCATCTCAGCCGATGACCTACCAATATTCCTACTGTCACATGACCGCTTCATTCACCTGTTAGTAACATTGCCTTCAGAAGTAAGGATACGATCTTGGAGTCACCTGTTCCCACACCTACCAAAATGCCTGTGAGTTTTACAAATGATTGGTAGGACCAGGGCTGGCTAGGTGAGTTGGGATGTATGCTGAGATCCTTCCTTCTCTTAAGAGCTGTAGCCTCCAAGCCTCCACTGGCAACACATAAAGAAAGCTGCTCTCTGCCCCATTCGGCAGTCTGACTCATTCCTTCAGCTTTCAAACAACCTTCCTATTGCTATGCCTTCACGATACATATCAAGCTGGGGTTCCCCCTACAGTCTCACTTGATTCCCTGTATTAGTTGGCTGACTCCCTAGAGCAGGGTTGTGACTGCTGACTTTATGTCTCCTTGGAGTGGGTCTTGCACATGGCACGGTCTGGGAAAGCTCTGGTAACAGAATTCAGGTAAAGATAACTCATTGAGCAGAACTAGGCCCCTCACATCACCAAGAGTCACAAGCAGGGTGGCATTGGCAGGGCAGGTACTCTCTCACGAGGATGCCCATCACATCCTGTCTCACTGCAGTGCCCAGCAATCACAGGCTATGTGCAACCCACTCCATCCCAATTTCTTCCTTAACTGGGAGGTGGTAAAGACACAACACCTGATTCCTGAGAACACAGCCCTGCCTGAGTAAGCTCCCATCCCCACCCCACCCCACTTCCAACACTTACCATGTTCATGACGGTAAGGATGAACCTCTGGGCTGCCTCTGCCCCGTGGTACTGGACCATATTGGCATCTGCTACCACCAAGGTCTCCACCGTGTACTCATGGGTGAGACGGATGGCATTCCTCCGTTCTCGCCAGTCCCATGAAGAACTGTCCCTCCTTGACTTCTTATTTTCTAGAAAATGATGAGACATTTGTGTAGTCAGTCCTTAGCGTCTTGACAGTCAAAGCCACAGAGTGTAAGACCAGAGCCCATTACCTCCACATGGGGTGGAGAAGCAGGAGCAGGCAAGAGGTCAGTTTGGGAAGATCAGATGTGAAGTGGGCTAGTGCAATGCGCACTAAGACTGGCTACCACAGGCAAGAAGAGCTGTCCCTTGAGAGTGGCGTTTTTAGCAGCACAAAATCTGCAAAAGAAAAGGAAATGTGGACCCAACCAGGATGAGTCTGGAAATGCTTCAGGGCATGGAACAGAACTATCCCGCTTTCTGAAGGGTTAGCTCACTGTTGATAATTGGGACCAAGGAAGCCAGAAGGCTGTGGATGCAAGACATTCTCCTGGAAGCTGGCCCTCCAACAACTGTTCTAAGGTTCATGAATAAGAAGATATAATCACTAACAGACATTAAGCCACTATGTCAAAAGGAACATAAGCAGACAAAATACCAGGGCACACATGTCCAGGCTAAGATGCCAGGCCTCTGTTTGCACTCTGCTCAGACAGGAAGCGTGATCAGTAAAGGTGTGTGCAGTCCTCTGTTGGCTTCTCAGAGACACTGTTTCCTGGTTGGCTCTTCCTGTGACAAACAGCTATTATAACTAACGAAAGAGGCTGTGCCTGTGGAGTCAGGAATGACACGATACCTCTGAGCCACACTAACGGCTAGTACAAATTTCACAACCCAAATGTGACTAGAAGGCAGTTCTGTACTTTGACAATTCTCATATTTTCAGCACTAGCCTCTACTGCTGTCATCCCTGATATAATTCACATGCAGTAAAGCACAGTCTGCCTACATACAAACAGGCTCGTATAACTCCATCACAAAAAATGCATTGTATAAAATAGTTTGAGATAGAGATCATAATTCACAAGCAAAAATATTCTGTATGTATAATTTATCATTGTAAAAATCAGAAAATTTAAGTATTCAATCTGAGAGAATGCTAACTATGATTAAACAGTGTGCAGACATCAAAATCACATTTATGAAGACTGTGTAATGATAGAGGGGAAAAACTAGAGATAAACACAGCTGTGCGATCCAAATTCTGTAGCGGCTTTATGTATCAGCATCTGTAGACCCCAAGGGCCCTGCGTGGGCCTATGAGTGCAAATGAGTTGTACTCAGTAACTGACATCGAGATTGGCCATGGGGACCCACCCGGCAGCAGTGTAGGAGGAACCAGAGTGATCTTCCATAAAGATTACCGTCAAGAAAACCCATGACGCAGTTCTACCCTGCAACACATGGGTTGCTACTATGAGTTGGTAACCACGGGCAGTTAGAATCAAGCCCCAAAGATAAAGAATTAAAGACCCTCAGAAGAGCTTAACTCAAATGCTGATGGTTTACACCTGACCAAGTAACACATCAAAATCCTTCACGGAGGATCATTCAACGTTTGTCTATAATACAGGCATAAGCCTATCTGCCTCCATTCTCTATAGGCCCTAAGGAGTCAGTGTAACAGATATCATAAAGAGTGAAATGCCATGCAAGTTAATATAAGCCCAGAGTACTGAATGACAGTTTTCAAATGGTTCCTAAAGGGTTATTGCTACCAAGATTGCAGTTGTTTTCTTCCTCCCTAGCCCAGCACTTGATGGGAAAGAAGGTTCATTAAGTGCACAGATGGAGGGGTGGGTGGATGGAATCCCCACTTTCCAGAGAGCACAGTTAAAGTCAAGCATGAAACCAGACTACATGTCACCCTAGAATGCTTTGGTCCTTCGGTCCCGTCACTGCATGTGGCAGAGCTTGTGCAAAAAGGTTTCTCATTGCCTTCTGGATTTCAAACATAAGGGTAAGTAAGAATTGCAAAAACTGGGAGCCAACTTGGAACAAGATGGACTCAGCTGAGGTGCTGCGTATGCCAGTATCTGGCCAGGAAGAGGATACTTGTTCTGAAGCCTTTTCTGGCAGCATTCCTTCGATGTGAAAGGTCTCACTTCTTCCAGCCCCATCAGGAACTTCCAGGTGCTCCTGGGGCATTTGGCCTCACTCTTGCCTGGCCTTCCCTCTGACAGCTCACACATTCAGTTGTTACATCATAACCACTCTAAGCTAGCTGTGACCCTAAGACATTTTTCCAGTCACCAGTGAGGAGAGGCCTGAGCCTGGGTTCAACCCTCTGTGGCCAGTCAGGAATTCGCAATGTTCCAGATTGTTGTCAGGCTATGTTATACATATACTGCATGTTGCATATCTCTTTGTTCAGCACTCTACGAAGAAGCAAAAGCATTTCTGCAGTACAATGTGTAAAGTGGAGGAAGTAAACCTGTTATAAATTAATTCTTCTCCCTCACTGACCCATAGCCCTACAGGGGACAACACTGGAGACAGTGTGGGAATTGCGCCCGATCTGATCCCACCACACCAAAGCAAAACACTAAGGGCATGAAACAGAACAGCAAGGGGAACAGAGCAACAAAGTCCCCAGGGAATACCAAAAAATAGACTT